GAGAGAGAGAGAGAGAGGACCTTTTCTGCCTGTGAGCGCCGCTTGCACTTGGACGAGCAATCGGCCTTTCCGGTGCTACTAGGAGACTCGAGCGAGGCCCATGTCATCCAAGTGGTCTCGATGTCGCGCCCGAAGCTCCCGCTGCCATTGTCGTCTACTGTGGTGCACGCCCCCTCCGACGCCCCCTCCGCTACAAACCCTGGCGTACTCTTCTCTCTATCTCTCAACGAGCCCTCCGAATTTCCGCAGATACCGCTTGTGGACGCCACCACAGATGACATGTTCACAGGAATCCTGTCAATGGTTTGGACCAATCCGCCCTTATGTGCAGCTTGGGGCTCGATTGCTTTTTTCGGGGCACAATGGGGAAGCCAAGACATGGGTTCATTAGGGCTCACCCTAGGCTCATTTGCTTGAGCCACTTGAGCTGCCTGTTGCACCACCGACTCGAGCATATCACTCCCTGTTCGAGTCCACAATGGCTTCGATTTCAGCTTCACTGGACGCACGGACTCTAGCCCGTGCATTGCGAGATGCCCGTTCTCCCACGTTAGCTCGGCAACATGATAATCCGATCTGAAACAGAAAAAGAGCAGTGAAAAATGGTGATGATCACTATCATTCACCTCAAATTACAAACAAAATTAGGAAAAAAAGCTATAAGAACAATGAATTGCCTTGCTTAGATTTGTGGAAAATTCGAAGATAGAAACATGAAATTCAATATAAAGAAAGCAAAAATAAGGAAAGAAGGTGTTCTATCTTTGAATACATGGATGGAACCAAGTACGAGTGACCAAAGCTCCCCTGGTGTGTGACCCTGCCTTCTTCCTCTTCTCCCCTCCTCCTCATGTCCCAACTGCCATCACAGTGATTCATCTCTCTCTCCCCCCTTGACACCATGGAAACTGTTCCAAATACCTATCATGCAGGTACATATACGTCTTTGAGAGACAGATACAGAGGAGAGAGAGGGGGAGAGTTGAAAAACTTCAGTTTAGTCTTTTACCATTTAGGGGAAGAGAGAGAGTTTAGTCTTTAACATTTATGGGAAGAGAGAGAATGGGATCACTCAAATTTAGAGAGAGAGAGAGTAGATTCAGTCATTTTGAGAGAGAGAGTGAGTTAAAAGGGCTTAGAAAAAATCGATTTAGTCCGCACCATTTGTGGAAGAGAGAGAGAGATTAAAATTGGAATCTCTTATATTTGGAGAGAGTAGAATCTCTGATTTAGAGAGAGAGGAAAGGGAAAACTTGATTTTAGTCTTACCATTTGTGGGTAGGAGAGAGAGAGATGAACAATGGAATCACCCAAATTTAGAGAGAGTGGAACCACTCATCTAGAGAGAGAAATCAACAATAGAATTTCTCATTTAGAGAGAGAGAGAGAGAGCGTCGCTTCTTTTTCAAGGAACATGTGGTTGTGGGGAGAGGGCACTTACAGAGTTGATGTGCTCGTCACCTAGGGGGGAGTCACATTGATGGGGACAAGTTAAAAAATAAAAATGAAAAAGGCCAAAAAAAAAATGAAAAAATTTTAAAAGAGAAAAACATTTTGTCTTTCCATTTTTGTGAAAATTTCGTCGAGTGCATGTTGTGTTTTTTACCAAATTTGGTCAGAATTTGGGCCTACCTCGTTGGACACTGATCATCTCTTCCCACTTTTCGATGAAAATGTCAACGCTTTCTTCAATAGTTCAAGAGAAAAAAAAAGGGAAAAAAAAAATTGGGCAACATATTTTACCAACACCTTGGATTTATTCTTTAGATTCTCATCCTTTAATTTTCTCATAAAAAAGGAATCGTTCAAGTGATTAATGACTATCATTTAACTCCACATTTTATTGACATTGTAGTAGCGAAATGCAAGGCATATTTAAATTGGGGTTTGAGACCTTTTATCTTTAGCATTTGGATGTTACAATTATTTACAACCATCTCATATGAAATCTAATAACTTGGGTGTGTCACAAAATTTGAAAAAAATTCTTTTAAACTTTAAGCTTGTTCAATGAAGTAAATGCATCTACCCAATTTTACATCCAATAGTCATGATTGATTGTGATCATCTTCTACCAAAAGTAAATGGTCTCATTATATACCTTTCCATTTAAATTTAAGGGTGGGCAACGATCCTGGGTTGGTCTATGGCCCTAGGCTTCATCCCTGTGGGGCTGGCTTGAGTTCAGCCAGTAAGAAGAGGCCCATGCCAGGCCAGGTTGGGCCTACTACACTAAAACAAAAATTTAAAAATTAAGGAGTAAAGTGTCAGAAGTGACCGGTCAATTGTGGCCTAGATACAGATTGGTTCTCAACCCGTGGTGGCTTGCTCCTCCCGTCACATTTTGTAGCCTACGAGTTAGTTTTATTGAGTTACCTGGCCTCATTGCTAACCCTAATTTTAGGGTGACAAATGTGATGTGCCTGAGTCGCGCCAATGCTGCCAAGCGAGGAGGACATGGACATGGCCAAAAGAGCCTTTGCATAGGTTAGCACTACCCCTAGGCTAGGTGACCCAGTCTGGCGGCTCTAGCCCTATTAATGGTGTTGGGCTAGGCTGGACTTGTTGATATTATTTATTTAGAAAAGTACATGAAGATATTATTTATTTTTGGTACAAGGAGATCACAATTATTATTGTCTCTCTGATTTCAAATTGGGTGGTTATAAGAGTGTCATTGATTAGACTCAAAGTTTACAAAATGAACTTATCAAAATGCATAACTCATTCTAAGCCCTCCAATTTAATATCTCATTATTTTTAATAATTTTATATTAAAAAGGGGAAAAGACAGAAATTTCTCACACAAATTATAATATTAAATAACTCTCGGGTCTTGTAAATATCATGTGGAACCCCAAAGTTAAAAAAAAAAGAAGCATTTCGCCATGGTATTTCCTTTTTCATTTTTCAAATTATAGAATTTACTTTGTTTTTCTTAATTACACTGTTATCTAAATCCAAGAATAGTTCTCATTCTCTTTCATTTCTTTCTTATATGTGGACGTCTTCTTCCCTCTCTCTAGCAACTTTCCTTAATACAATTTCTTTCTCATCTCATGAACCTCACAAGTTAAAAATGGCATCATAAACTCAACATCTATGATGAAGTTATTAAAAAAAAGAAGGGTAAATTTTGTAACTTGGATGATAAAAAAAATAAGGAGGGCGTAAAATGTCTTATTTTGTTTAACTTGAGCACTTACATGGGATATTTGTAGGACTAAGAGGATATTTGAGATTATAAATAAAAATAGAAGGTGAGGGGGGGTATGTCCTTTTTCTCAAGGAAAAAAAAAAAAAAAAAAAAAAAAATAATGGCTGCCCGAGAGGCAAAGGCCTTAAAGCCTAACCGATGGGAACATATAACTGGCCGTTGAGCATTGTCCTTGCCGTTACTGTGAGAAAATTAGGGTTATGACTAGGGTGATGTAAGGAATTAGACGTACAGAAGGAGGGAGGGAGAGAGAGACAAAATCCTATTGTGAGAGGGGCCCATATACTATCACTATCATATAATTAAGAAGTTGTCGTTGCCACCTGGCTCGTGCTGATAGGTAGGCTGAGATACTATCGCTACCGATGGCTCCCCGTGTCGGCAAAGGGTTTCAATTTTTTGACATTTTACTTCTCTTTTCTCACCCTAGCATGCCCACATTTAATAAAGGAAAATATATAATTTAATAAAAAAAAAAGCCAGATTACTTATTTTTAGTAACATTAATGTTGACGATGTGATATTAGGGGAGGCAATCATTTTTTTTGAGTAAGTTCGAACTATAAAATTTTTTTTTTTGAACTTTATGATATATTTAAGCTATCAAATTTTACATTAAATAATTATAAATAATTTTGACCAACTTATATCAAACCAAATTGTTTCATTGTTTACAATCTTTTTTAAAAAAGGAAGAAGTTTATATAGAGCCGAGGCTCTAAACAATCAAATTAGAACCCACATCAAATTTTTTTTAAAAGAGGTTTTGATGCCCAAATATCTTCAAATTGATGCATGGACATGAGAAAAAATTGGATTCATGTTTTGGATATAGTGCATCTTGTAACGTATTTTTGGAATATAAATTTTCAAGATTTTTAAGTTTTCATAGATCTACTTGATCTACACTATTTTTGAAGCTTTAAATTTTATAATTAAAGATGAAAATATATTTTAAGACTATCACAAAGATTTCCAGTATTGAAACATTTTTTCGCGACACTATTTGAAGGTGGGCTCTAATTGATTATTTAGAGGCTAGGCTTTATACAAACTGCATCCTTTTTGTAATGAGCCAAGGCTCTAAACAATCAAATTAGAGCCTACCTTCAAATAGTATCGAGAAATGTGGTTTCATTATTGGAAATCTTTGTGATAGCCTTAAAAATATATTTTCATATTTATTTATAAAATTTACAGCTTCAAAATAGTGTAGATCGATAGATTTATGAAAATCTTGAAAATTGACAGTCCAAAATTGTGTTATAAAATACATTATTTCCAAAACTTAAAATCCATTTTTTTCTCATGTCCATGCATCTTGATGCTGAGATGATCAATTTGACGACATTTGGGCATCAAAACAACATCTTATAGTGAAATTTTTGAGGTAGGCTCAAATTTGATTGTTTAGAGCTTCGGCTATATATAAACTTTTCAAGGACGTCATAATCACTTTCAGATTTCAAATAGGGTTGCTGTAAATGTGCTATTGACTGGACTCAAGAAATTTGTTTTAAGAACTCAAAACTTTATTACACCTCCGAAGCCATACAATTTGACATTTAATAGTTAGTAGCAATTGTGACCTCTTTAAAGAACGAATGATCTTATAGTATACAATTTCAAAGATGCCCTACATATTTTCACACACAAAAATAACATGCCCCATGAGACTCATACCTATCGGATCAAAGATACAACACTTAGTGATTTTGAGCCGAGAACAATGTTAGGCACTCATTGCATCTGTCAAACCATAATTAACATGAAATTTTGGTTTCAGCTCATTTCTATTGTCTGCTTAAAATTGGATAGTCGAGATTAATCTGAGGAATGTCATCAAAATCGGATTGTTGGGATTGAAAAGGATATGTAAGGCTCACAAAAACGGTTGGACTTTTATAATTAATTTATAATATTATTGTTGGCTCATTCCGAATTCTCTAGACAAAAATAAATAGCTAAATGTCTCCAAAAATATAAATTACAGGTGCATATAAAAATAATGCATGTGAAAGCACATAAACAACTTACTTTTTAATTAAGGGTGAGGTTTGTATAAGATTGCCTCCTTATACTGTAAAAATAAGGAATACCTCTCAAATTGACTTAGAGATTTCGTTCCGATGTCGAAGACCTTATGATGGCTTGAAATCTATTTTTATCCCTAAAAAATTTAAAATTTCCAAAATACTACAGATTGAGCCAATGAATGAACTAATAAAAATCTTCGATCCTAAATTAATTTTTTTTGAGGTGAGGTCGAAATGATCAATTGAAAGGTTTTTCAATGCCAAAACAATATTTTATGTAGGATTTATAAGGCGCGACTTACCTCAATTGCATAAGGATGTAACCTTATATAAAAAAAGGTTCTACCATCTCTGAAACCCTTATTTTGGATTCTGCAATCTCGTTCTAGGTTAATAATATCTTTAAACTTTCTCTCAAAAAAAAAAAAGAAAAAAAGAAACGAAACGAAACGAAAATAAAAGAAAAGGTTGTAACCTTATATAAACCTTTTCCTTTAATTAATCACGTAATTCACCGCAAGTTTTTTTTTAAGGTGTGAACTATATTTTATTAGAAATGACCAAAATAGTGCAGTAAAATAACTTGTAAAAAGAAGGGGGGATATTTCAGATGTAATAAATTAGAAGCAGTAGTGTTTGAGTTTGTAGGAGAATCCCCATCCACATGTGAATAAGATGAGTTGGCTCCCATGAGGACAAGGAGGAGTCTCTCAACCACCCTTATGCAACACAAGCATCACCGTCTCTCTGCTTTCTTTCGAGAAGCTACAGTGATGAATAGTCGACGTAAGGCTTGTATGTGGTTAAACAAGCATAAATGCACACGCTCTACAACTAGGATGGAGCGAGAGAGACAGTGAAGTGAGAGGCAATTTAAGAGAGAGGTTATTTTTGACGTGAGGGACCAGGAGAGAGATGTTATTTGCGAGCTGAGAGAGAATTTAAGAGAGGTTATTTTTGAAATGAGGCACAAAA